AAAAGTTGGCAAAAAAAAAAAAAAAAAAAAAACCAAAAACAGCCGAACAACACTGATGCAGACGTCAGCCAGTAGGTGGCAGGCATGAACCTAAAGTTCAGCCAGAAGAACATAAACTGTTGGGTCCTTCAAGTCCACAGTATCAAACATACAGACACCAGAGCTAACGTTAGCTACCACAGTCCTGGTACAGACACCAGAGCGAACGTTAGCTACGACAGTCCTGGTACAGACCCCAGAGCTAACTTTAGCTACAACAGTCCTGGTACAGACACCAGAGCGAACGTTAGCTACGACAGTCCTGGTACAGACCCCAGAGCTAACTTTAGCTACAACAGTCCTGGTACAGACCCCAGAGCTAACGTTAGCTACAACAGTACTGGTACAGAAACCAGAGCTAACGTTAGCTACGACAGGCCTGGTACAGACACCAGAGCGAACGTTAGCTACGACAGTCCTGGTACAGACCCCAGAGCTAACGTTAGCTACGACAGTCATGGGACAGACACCAGAGCTAACGTTAGCCACAACAGTCCTGGTACAGACACCAGAGCGAACGTTAGCTACGACAGTCCTGGGACAGACACCAGAGCTAACGTTAGCTATGACAGTCCTGGTACAGACACCAGAGCGAACGTTAGCTACGACAGTCCTGGTACAGACCCCAGAGCTAACTTTAGCTACAACAGTCCTGGTACAGACCCCAGAGCTAACGTTAGCTACAACAGTCCAGAGCTAACGTTAGCTACAACAGTACTGGTACAGAAACCAGAGCTAACGTTAGCTACGACAGTCATGGGACAGACACCAGAGCTAACGTTAGCCACAACAGTCCTGGTACAGACACCAGAGCGAACGTTAGCTACGACAGTCCTGGGACAGACACCAGAGCTAACGTTAGCCACAACAGTCCTGGTACAGACACCAGAGCTACCGTTAGCTACAACAGTCCTGGTAAAGACACCAGAGCTAACGTTAGCTACCACAGTCCTGGTACAGACACCAGAGCTGACGTTAGCTACAACAGTCCTGGTGCAGACACCAGAGCTAACGTTAGCTACGACATGTTTTTTCAAATGTGACCCACCTTTCCTTTTGAGCGGTGTAATTGCAGGCCATCTGACGGTGGCGCTAACTGCAGGTCTGTGGAGACAGGAGTGTGAGAACAAACACCAGACCAGGTGGAACATCAAACACAGACTAGTTCAGAACCAGAACCTGAATCTCCGCGTGGGACTTGGAGAAGAATTGGGAGTGACGCCACTGTCCTGTGACGGGAACCACTGAAGAAGAAAAGACCACAACTTTAAGCAGTAACAGCGCCACCACAGGTCTGATTTAGAAATCACTTCTGGGAACATCCAGTCACCGAGCCGGGATTCAAACTCACCACTGACGTGTGATCGTTCCACTGACTCACTGGAGGAACTGGAACCAAACTGGAAGAACTGGGACAGGAAGAGAGTGAAAGGGGGAGGAGCTAATCTCTGAGGACCAGGGAGGATCTGGAACGTTCTATCTACGTTTGATTTCTGATACCTGAGTCTCTGAAGACGTCCTCTGAGCATCAGCTCGGAGCTCTCCTCCTGTCCACACACACACACACACACANCTGTCTGTCCCCGGTCAAAGAGAAAGGCGAGAGTGGGAGGAGCTAAAAGTTGGGACCAAACAAAAGTTCACACACACACACACACACACACACAGAATCAGACTGTTATGATTTATTTTATTTACAGTGACGTCTGTAATAAAACCTAACTGACCTGTGATGGACAGCTGGGGTTGATGGACACACTGCTGCGTCTGTATCTGGCTGACGTCACGGGGCTGAAGACCGCCATCCCGTCACTGAGGATCAAGAAAAGGTGTTTCTGACGACGAGGCAACAACGACACTGACGTCACCATGACCTCGTCATTACGTCTCTACCGTCGGTGAAATCAATAACAACATAAATCGATCTTTTATGAACGGGGGTTTCTGTCAAGTACCACTGACCTGACGCTGGGGATCATGGGGGCGCTGTTCGACCTGCGAAGTACCCCGCCTCCGACTCCACTCGCGCCTGCGCACTGGTCCACCTCCATCCGCTCCATGGCGTTGGTCCACTCAGGCCGGGCAGCCGTAGCACCGCCAGCCGGTCTTCTACCCCCTGACGGCGGTGTCTGGTTTTACTCGAGGCCGGTGAAAGCCTGACCCGCAGGCCTCACGAGCACCAGACCCAGTGCGGCCGAGTCAGCGGGGCTGAGAAGATCAGCGACCCGCTCTCTACCGCATCCTCCAGCCTAAACAGACGCACCTTATCTGCCCGTGTCCGTGACTTTCAGAGACATTTATAACATAAAGGAGCCGAAGCCCAAGTCGCTGCTTTTCTCCAGCGCCGATTTGTCTCCGAAAAAGAATATTAAAAACACAAAGATTCGCAAAACGCTGCGCACGAAGTTCAGTCAAAAACACGGAGTCTGAAATAATGCAACATGTCCGCAGTCCGTGGAGAAACTTTCCGATTCAGTCCACACTGGTGACGGGACCTTGTGGATTAGCCACGGAGCTAACTTGGTTTGCAGTGAAAAACCTCCAGTCACACAAGCAAAAAAGCACAGAACAACAGCCGGGCTCGGAGGCACCAGACGTGGCCCGAGGTCTCAGGGAGAGTCGGTGTCACGATCCCCGCACAAACCGAGGCTGATCCACGGGGAAAAAACGGGAATGACCGAAAATCAACACTTTCAAATATTTTTACAATATAGTCCTTCAAAGTGAATACACAGGGAATATCTTCACTGTAAAACAGCGACACCGGCCGGTCACATGTAGAACTTCAGTTCCACGAGGATTTTTTTTTCAACAGCTTTTTAATACGACAGCGTCATAAAATGAAAAAAGTTTTTTTTATTTAAACAAAGAAACGCGAACAATGAGAAAACTCTAATAGAAATATATTTCAGCCCAAAGTTAATAAAATATAACTCTGATCACAGAGGAAATATTAGACAAACGATGGAAATGTTAACAACATCAGAAGATAAAGGTGAAAATATGAGTCAAACCAAGTAAAACTAGTCACTTAAACCAGTTAAAGTTTATATCTGTGTATAAGTGAGGAGATCTGAATCAGAGGAGGAGGAGGAGGAGGAGGAGGTTCCTCTGGATGTCTGGAGAACTGCTCCTCTTCCTCTTCCTCCTCCTCATTCTGAAGAATCTGAAGTGAATTCTGTCTTTGATGAAGTCGGACGTGTTTCACCTTTGAAACCACAGTCGGTACCGGAGCATCGGGCTGTCGTTACCCGGGTCAACCCCCCCCCGGACCAGAGCTCCGTTAAAGAGCGGAAGAAGTGAGGAAGGAGGGAGGAGGGAAGAGGAGGTTCTTTCCTAACCTCCTCCCTCCTTCTCTCCAGTTACTGAAACTTTTAGGTCACTTCTTTATTTGTATTTACCCTCTTTACAAACTCTTTTCTCCTCCCGGATGTCGCAGTAAGACGGTTGGCGGCGGCGCGGAGCTCCAGCAGCAGCGACATGTCGGTGAGACCCGCGGCCGCCGGGACGCCACTGAGGTGGGTACAGCCTCGGAGCTCCTCCCGCTGCTGGTAAACAACTGCAGCCGGAGCAGGGAGGCTGCGGCCGGGACACAGCTGCTGGCCACACTCGGGGACGAGCTTCAGACACACCAACCTAAACCAAAGTCAACTTTTTATTCTTAGTTCCATAAACTTTGAACACTTTTCACTCAGTTAAACAACACATTTTTAATGATTAGTCGATTAATCAGGGATCAATGACATGTCGTGTTTGAAGTTAACCTGTAAAGAGTTGGTCGTTTCTGTGACATCATGAAAAACATGTGACGTCATTTATTCCGTTATAATTGTTTTAACTAGTGACAGTTGAACAGGGTTACTAACCTTAACTCAGTTACAGAATTCTTCTGTTGAAACGATTCAAGGTGTAGATTCTGTTTCTGTCCACAGGGGGTGATGGAGGGCGACAAAGACACGTCAGACGACAAGGAGGAGGAGGAGGAGGAGGAGGAGGACAAAGAGATCCATCTTCACCTGACAGCAGCAGCCTCCTCCTCTGTGGATGACCAGGACCTTCCCATCATGCACTGGGAGGACCTGAGTCGGCGAATCGCTGAGCTGGAGAAACAGGAGCAGGAGAGGAGAGAAAGGGCAAAGGTCAACCATGACTTGATTTGTAAACGTTCACTTTTGAATTTGACATCAGTTGTTGAACTGATGGAACTGATGGTTCCTGCAGAGGAGACCGGGGCTGAGGGCAGAGGAGCAGCAGGAGGAGGAGGAGGAGGAGGAGGAGGAGGAGGACGACTTCAGGAGGGGCCGGCTCGCCGTCGTAGCTTCACGGTAAACACCCACACCGTGTGATTGGCGGCGGTGATTTGCGTCGTGTCCTCCAGCTCTGCTGCTCTTCCGTCCACAGGTTCCACCGACACAGGAAGCTGCAGCTGTGCTTCATCAACGACGAGGACAGTGACGATGAAGACGACAAGAAGGTACGTGGTCAAACCACGACACTACGCACTCTAGTACACTAGGTGGCAGTGTGTGCCCAAACACGTTGGTTGTGATTGGTCACAGTTTGTCTGGAGCTCAGAAAATAATAATCGTATCGAAAACAAAAAGAATCGTGAATTGTTTGGTATCGTGAGGTGAGTGCGTGGTTACATCCCTCGCCACCAGTCGTACCAAGGTCCACGGAGACACACTACTGCCTCTGGTGGACAGTTCATGTCACTGACGTTCTCCAACGTGATGATGTCATCAATGTGTGACCAATGACCATCAGGTTTCCATGGGAAAAAGATGCAACGGTTGCCACGGCTCTGGACTGAAACAGGAAGTGGTGACGACTCTGAGGACGCTGAGGGACGAAGTGTTGGCTGAACTGAGGGAGAAGGAGGTAAAAGAAGGAGACGAGGGTGAGGGGTCAGAGGTCAGGGGTCAGGGGTGAGGAGAGACCTGAGCAGGAGGAGAAAAAAAATCTAAATGAAAGTGAGGATTAGATAAAAACATGTTGACTCTGTGTGTGTGTGTGTGTGTGTGTGTGTGTGTCAGCGTCTGTCCAACACCAGTGTCGTTCCAGAGAGGAAACATCTGGAGCGTTGGGAGCTGCTGGAGTTTTCAGTCCAGCAGCTGAGCAGCATGAGGACGTCACTGCAACAGGAAGTAGAGGGTGAACACACACACACACGCACGCACACACACACGCACGCACACACACACACAGAGTCAGTGTAAAAGGAAAGAAAAAAACTTTGTTGACATGATTTCATGTGAACACATTTCTACGACACAAGTCCCTGAACGCCACACTGGACCAGCGGGGACACGGGGACGTCCCCGGTCCGTCGGGGACGCGGGGACGTCACCGGTCCGTCGGGGACACGGGGACGTCACCGGTCCGTCGGGGACACGGGGACGTCACCGGTCCGTCGGGGACACGGGGACACGGGGACGTCCCACAGCGTCTCATAGAGTTCTCTGTGCAGATCTGAGCTCAGAGCTCGTGGCTCAACTGTTGGTCCGGGACCAGCTGAGGACCAAGCAGGACGCCATGCTGCTGGACGTCCAGGACCTGACCTGAAGACTCCCAGGACCTGACCCGGGACACGACCCCGCCCACTGACTGGACCAGGCTGCAGCCTGATTGGCTGGAAGGTTTTTAACGTTTGGAAAGTAAAACGGAGCTTTTGATTGGCTCCTCGGCCGGTCAACAGGTGTGGACTGTGATGATGAGACAGGAAGACGAAGGACGCGGAGGACGTGAAGTGCACGGTCAGCGGGAAGCTGAGGAGGCGGGGGATCGTGACCTGTTTGAACCGCGCCGTTAATGTTAAACCTGAGTTTAGACAATTATTTTTAGCAGACGTGTCGACGACCGCGTGGTCAGATGAGGTCGTTTCCTCGCCGCACGGTAAACAGGAAGTCGTTTGATCAACGCCATGTTTGTTATTCTCACTCTTCTGTTGTGGTTTGACCGTCAACGTTCAAACTAAAGCAATTTTATTTTATTCTCTTCCACAAAAAACAAATACAGAGTGGACTTTTCAAAATAAAAGCCTCGTCCTCCGTGAAACGCACCAGTGGGTGTGGCCAGACGACGACGTTTGTGTTGATTCACCAGCGTCGTCTGTTACTTACAACTAAGAAAAAAAAAAGAGACTGAATCTGTCGATACGATACGAACCACGACACAGAGGCGACGGTACGATGTACAGCGAGACAACAGTCACGACGACTGTCGTCCCAGTCTGGTCCTAGTC